CTTAAAATGGCGTCTGTTCTCCATGTTAGGAGCGGCTTTGAACGCTCAGGTAGGACGGGAGGCAATGTATAGACCGGCAATCGGGCCAAACAGCCTGCATGCCGTATCGAACGACAACGGCCAACGATGCGTGAACTTTGCAGCCTCTCGGGGTATGGCAGTTCGAAGGTTCTTTTTCTCCCGCAAGGATATCCACAAAGCCATCTGGAGATCACCTGACCAACACACAGAAAACCAAATCGATCACGTTCTAATCGACGGGAAATTCTTCTCCGACATTATCAACGTCCGCACCTACCGCAGTGCGAACATAGATTCGGACCACTACCTAGTTGCAGTATGCATGCGCTCAAAACTCTCGACGGTGCATAACACACGTCGAAGTCGAACGCCACGACCCAACATTCAGTAATTACGAGACGCCGGAGTTGCCCAGGACTACGCGCAGCAGCTGGAAGTTTCACTACCTACGGAAGAGCAGCTTGGCGCAGCTTCTCTTGAAGATGGCTGGAGGGACATCCGTTCAGCCATAGGTAATACAGCTGCAGCGGCACTAGGTAGGTTTGACGGCGAATGCAAGCTGTTAGTGGAGGAGAAGAATGCAGCACGGGCGAGAATGCTGCAACACCGCACGAGATTGAATGTGGAGCGATACAGACAAGCGCGGAACAGACAAAACTCGGTTTTCCGAAGGAAGAAGCGTCAGCAGGAAGACCGAGATCGCGAGGCGATGGAAAATCTGTACCGCGTAAACGACACACGGAAGTTCTACGAGAAGCTAAATAGTTCGCGCAAAAGCTACGTGCCGCAAGCCGATATGTGCAAGGACTTGGAGGGTAATCTTCTCACGAACGAGTGTGAGGTGATTGAGAGGTGAAAGCAGTACTATGACGAGCACCTCAACGGTGAAGCAGCAGAAAACGAAGGTGGCACGGCAACAGACCTTGGAGCACGCGCAGAAGACGACAGGCTACCGGCCCCCGATCTTCAAGAAGTTGAGGAGGAGATCAGTCGACTGAAGAACAACAAAGCAACTGGTGTAGATCAACTACCAAGTGAGCTATTAGAATACGGTGGTGAAGCACTGGCTAGAGCGCTGCACTGGGTAATTGTCAAGATTTGGGAGGAGGAGATATTACCGGAGAAGTGGATGGAAGGTGTCGTATGCCCAATCTACAAAAAGGGCGACAAGTTGGATTGCTGCAACTACCGCGCGATCACACTGCTGAGCGCCGCCTACAAGGTACTCTCCCAAATTCTATGCCGCCGTCTGTCACCATATGCAAGAGCGTTCGCGCTACCACGGACCAAATTTTCGCGATTCGGCAGGTTCTGCAGAAATGCCACGAATACAACGTGCCCACACATCATTTGTTCATCGATTCCAAATCCGCATACGACACAATCGATCGATGCTATGGCAGATTATGCACGAGTACGGATTTCCGGATTAACTGACGCGATTGGTCAAGGCGACGATGGATCGAGTGATGTGCGTTGTTTGAGTATCGGGGACACTCTCGAGTCCCTTTGAATCTCGAAGGGGGTTACGGCAGGGTGATGGACTTTCGTGTCTGCTATTCAACATCGCGTTAGAAGGGGTGATCAGAAGAGCTGGGATAGACACGAGTGGCACGATCTTCAGGAAGTTCATCCAGCTTCTTGGTTTCGCCGATGACATTGACATCATGGCACGGAACTTTGAGACGATGGCGGAAACGTACATCAGACTGAAGGCTGAAGCTAGGCGGATTGGACTTGCCATCAACGCATCAAAGACAAAATACATGAAAGGAAGAGGTTCTAGGCAGACAATGTTAGCCTCCCACCCCGAGTTCAGATTGACGGTGACGAAATCGAGGTGGTCGATGAGTTCGTGTATTTGCGCTCACTGGTGACCGCCGAAAATGATACCAGCAGAGAAATTCAAAGACGCATTATGGCAGGGAATCGTGCCTACTTTGGACTCCGGAGGACGCTCCGGTCGAATAAAATTCGCCGTCGCACGAAGTTGACTGTCTACAAGACGCTTTTTTTTTTTTTTTCTTTATTTTTGTGATTTTTAGCCGTAGGCTAGTTCATCACATTCTACAAGACGCTGATTAGAGCGGTGGTCCTCTACGGCCACGAGACCTGGACTATGCTCGTGGAGGAACAACACGCGCTTGGTGTTTTCGAACGGAAGGTGTTGCGTACCATCTACGGTGGAGTGCAGATGGATGACGGAACGTGGAGGAGGCGAATGAACCACGAATTGCACCAGCTGCTGGGAGAACCATCCATCGTCCACATTGCAAAAATTGGGCGACTACGGTGGGCTGGGCACGTCGTAAGAATGCCGCACGACGACCCAGTGAAAATGGTTCTAGAAAGCGACCCAACAGGAACAAGAAGAAGAGGTGCGCAGCGGGCTAGGTGGATCGACCAAGTAGAAGGTGACCTGCGAACCCTTCGCAGACTACGAGGCTGGCGAACTGTGGCCATGGATCGAGTAGAGTGGAGACGAATTCTTCGGACAGCAGAGGACAACAAGGCCTTAGCCTAATTGGTAAGGTAAGTAAGTTGTTTATAAAAGTTGTACCTAAGGGGTCGTCCATTAATTATGTCACACGTTAAGGGGGGAGGGGGGTTTTGAAAACTGTGACGAGCCATACAAAAAATTATGATTCAGAAGATGTTCATAGTACGTCCGACGAGAAGTTCAGAGAACTTTCGAAGAGAAGTTCACAGAATTCCGAGAACAAGATCAGAGGACATCCGGCGTAAAATTCAAAGATATGGCCAGGATAAATTTAGCGATCATCCGAGGAGAAGTTCGGATAAGTTCCGAGTAGAAGTTCTGAAAACATCCGACGAAAAATTCAGAGAACTTTCGATGAGAACTTCACAAAATGTCCGACGAAAATTTTAGAGAACTTCACAGAATCTCCGACTAAAAATCCAGAGAACTACCAAGGAGAAATTCTGAGAACTGCTGGCAATAAATTCCGGGAACTTCCTACTAGAAATTCACAGTACTTCTGACGAGATGTTCATCCAGAAGAACAGCATGATCCATTCCAAATATTAAGATTAGCGTTACGGACTAACTTTGGCGTTTAAAGATTGTACTCGAAAAAAAATGCAACACTTTCTTTTGTGTATAACTTTTTATTGCATGGGTAAAAATTGATGAAATTTTGAGCAAAACTTGTTTAGAGTGTTATGTTTACATGTGCAAAATCTTGTCACAATCTGTCAAGTGGTTATCGAGATGGTTGCCAAGCAAGACGTGCTTCGACAAAAAAAAATATGGGAGCATTCGTGGAAAATCCAGGGCAGTCCCACAGGTGGATCGCGGAACAGTTTGGAATCGACAATTCGACCGTGTTCCGTGTGGTAAAATCATTCAAAGAGGCCCAGCCGACCCAGCGGCGAGCTGGCAGCAGAAGAAAAGCGAAGACGACTGACCTCGTGAGAGCAAGGAAGGTGAGGGATTACTTCAAGCGTAATCCGAACCTTTCGATTCGACACGCGGCCAAGAAGGTCAATTCTTCCGTTTGGTTCCTCCAGCAGACAATGAAGCGGTCGGACTTCATATCTTGAAGGTAGGAAAGTGCCTAGCTTTAGCGATAAACAGAATACGGTGGCCGTGGCGTGTGGTTGGTGCAGCCGAAATGCATCGTAATGGCCGACGAGACATACATTAAAGCGGACGTCAAGGAGATATCCCGGCCTGGAGTTTTTCGTCGGCAAGTCCCGCCTGGATGTTCCGGAAGAAGAAGGTCGACAAATTTTCCAAGAAGTACTTAGTGTGGCAGGCGATCTATGGGTGCTGCAAATTCAGCAAGCCATACATAACGACCAGCACCATCAACGGCCAAATATATAGAGAAGAATGCCTCCAGAAGCACCTGCTGTCCTTCCGATCCCACGAAGGTGACACTCTGTTTTGGTCGGATCTGGCATCGTGCAATTTCGCGAAACCGGTAATGGAGTGGTATGAAGCTAACGTTTTTGTGCCGAAGGAGGCAAATCCGCCAAACTCGCCACAATTTCGCCCAAAAGAAAAATTCTGGGCGATTATGAAGGGCAAGCTCCGGAATATAGGGCAGGTTTTCATAAACGATAAGGATTTGAAGAAAGAGTGGATGAAAGTGTGTAATGAATATGGCGCAAGTGTTGCACAGGATTTGATGGGTAACGTTAAGTCCAAGGTGCGGGCATTTAGCCTAGGAGAGGAGATTGAATAAGCCAACTTTGCAAAAACATAGCTAATATGAGTTTCAAAAATATCCGACTTGAATTTTTGGTGATAATTTTTGTCTGTTGCATTTTTTCGAGTACAGTCTGTATATAACTTGTGAGAGCTGTCATCAACATCCCAAAAGAAAAATAACGTTTAACTCCTACTATGGTTCTAGACCAACTGAACCGTTTATTCCGAATTTAATAAAAGAAAACCTAAAGTCCTATCGATGAGCTGAGTAAGTTATTTCTTACAAAAAGAATGCTGTCATTGTTCTGCTGCTGCAAATGCGTGGAACTGCTGATGCGTCTTCTATCCAAAGGTTGGGTCGTTGCTCGCTGCTAGATGGTCGTTTGTTTATGCTGTAATAGGCTGCATTCGCTTCTCGAGTAAAAAGTTGTTGACGCTAGGCTAGTGGTCTCAGAGTTTGATTATAATGTTGACAGGTGGAGAGTTGCTGATGTTAGACTTCGGCCCAGAGTTCGATTATGGTGTTGGCTTCCATGAGTGCTGTTGACCCGTCTTCGTCAATGCCGCCGTTGTAGTTGTTGTTGTTGTTGGCAATGGTGCTAACCGTAATGGTGCATTGATGTGGCGATTGGTGCTGGGATGTATTATGTTAGGGATCTCGGGGGATTTGATCTTAACTTATATTAGAAGAAGAAATTCGAGAATAGAAAAAAATAATTCCATTAAATTAACTTTCCAAGAAAACAAAAAGAGAAAACAAATTCATTCCATAACTTCTTCCCAATCTTCCCTTTGTTTCCAGATACAAGAAGAACTTGAAGGCATTCTACATCGTGCACCCGACGTTCTGGACTAAGATGATGACCTGGTGGTTCACGACATTCATGGCTCCGGCCATCAAAACCAAGGTTCACTCACTGCCCGGCGTTGAGCACCTGTACTCCGCCATCACTAAGGATCAGCTGGAAATTCCCGCCTACATCACCGAGTACGATATGGCGGTTGGTATCTCTTTGACTTGCCCTTGACTAGTGCAGACAAATAATGGCCCACTTTTCCCTTTTATTCCAGACGAACGGAATCCACTACTTCCAACCAATCACCAACACCTCATCGCCTGCATCCTAAGGATCTTCACCGCACCCACAATCATCAACTACTGCATCGTCTCCTCAGATAATTAAGATGATCAAGCTCAGTAGTGAATCGATTCTCATAGATATTCATGCTCCAAAGTTCCGTTTGCAACCCATCATGATCATCATTCTCGTACCAGTTCGTAGCTGTGTGAAGCACTAAATTTTCATTTTTCGCCTAATTTTCACCGAGCAAAACGAAACATTTCGGCGTACTCTTTCATATGTAGTGTGTAATTGAATCATCTTAAAATACTGAACATACCAAAAATAAAATCGACAACACTGTTCTAAACGAAACAAGATGAAAACTATTTGCTTCCTTTCCACCGTTGAATATAGAGAAGATGATTATTGAAAATAAGTGAGGATTATTGGCAGAAACTGAAGAAAACGTCTACACCCATATTTAGAGAACTAAAAAAAAAACAACAATCTAGCGAAAGGAGCTGAAGGCGACGGAAATCTGTAGCTAACAAATATTATTCTTAACGTTTTATCGAGACTATGGTTAAAATGCTATATACCTACATTTAATAAAGCAAAGCAACTAATTGCTAGGAGAACAAGGGTTAATTAACTGATACAAGAAACACACACACACACACAACTTTGTTATAGAATTAGTGAAAAACAAGAATATATAAGCAAGAGCGCGGCTGACGTGAAAATGTTATTTAGAAGAGGACCCGCCCCAAACCAGCAAATAGAAGCAACCCGGAAGTATAAACACAAAAAAAAGAAATCCCTAGGATATTAATGCTGCTATGCGGCTTTTGTTGTAGAGGAAGCTTGAATTTAGTCGACGTGTTAAGCAAAGCAACACGAACACAAAACACAACAACAGCATTCCCTTGCGCTTATGAACCGAAACAACAAGTATAAGAAACATTTAAAAAAAAATCAAATCCTCCTAAGGAGACAAATCCGTGCAAGCACCCCTTTTTAGAAGCATAATAAGCTCAGCTTAAATAGGCCACGAGGATCAGCGGGAAGTGTTTGTGAAGAGGATAATACGAAGAACCAGCGAGAGTGCACTAGTTGGTGAAACATTGTGAAGCAATTTCTTGAAAAGAAGCCACTTTTTTTAGAGAAGCCATTCAGAAGGTTTGTTGTTAAAGCTAATCAGGAGAGATGAAAAAAAAATCAAGTTAAACTACGAGTACGAAGCGAGATGCGAGTGGGAAATGATTTTTGTTGTCCAAAAAAAATTGAGTTGAGCTCGCGCCGAGGAACCAATTAACTCACATGTATTATAGTCGTACCTTAAAAAGCAAAAGAAACCTTTCCAATCGACTGGAGGAAGATTGTTTGCACGGAACAAAAAAATCGAAACCCCAATTTGTCTTTCTCGATACCGTTGTTCTGTTTCTAATGTTTTTAGTATGTAGCAAAAGAAGAAGTTTGAAGATGCAGGCGGGCGCCCACTCAAAGTTTAACACAACAAAATTCTAACCAAAAACCAAAACACAGATGCTTAAGGCGTACGAGCCTGTCAGAGTATTATACAGAAGGAGAAAGCGTATCCGAATCACTTTCATGGTTATATTCTCATGCTAATCTAGGGTACTTACTACTGAACTAATCACAGAGTTACAACAATGCTAAACCACAAATGCAAATGAAATGTTTTCCTCGAACTTTTTCGTCTAGTGTCTATGTGTTATCTTGAAAAGACTTGTTTAAATTTTAGGAGATTATAGGTTAAATTGTAAGCGAATCAGCAAATGCATTGAATATTATTCTTATAATTGATATTGTTTACTAGTACAGGAAACACGAACAGGTGGAAAGAAGCAAGTTCGAAAGTTAAACACACCAGCAAAGAAACAGGCAAACCCCGACAAAATCCTGCATGGCGCAAATAGCTGAAAATAAAACAGAGATAGGAAAAAATGAGCATTTGCAAACCAAATAAACGTAAAAAGGAAGAAAAAAAAATCCAACAAAAACATGTTGTAAAGTATTGTTAAACAATTATTTAGAAAGTCGAGTACTTATAGTAGGAAATTGGCGGCAAAGAAGACGCGAAGAAAATAACAACAATACAAATCAAATAGATTGAGCCAAGCAGTGCGCAGTGGCTTAAAAGGGAACATTCATGAACTTAATTGTTTTCAGATGAGTGCGCACTTTTTTCTGTTGCATGCACCTTAAGTTTTTATTAAGGTGCAACTGTACTGCAGAAAACTAACTTTTTAATTTCAACAGATAGAGACAGTAAGGATTATTTTAGCACAGTTGTTGTCGTTTTCGTCGTTGTCGCAGCAATAATTGCGAGTCATTGACAGCTCATCATCAATTCTAGAAAGAGCTGGAATTAGGGCGTAACAGCTTTTGTAAACAATGACTTCTAGTGACGATTTCTAGGAACTCAATGTACGCTCACGCAAACCAACATAACCGTCGGGTAGGGGAAGTCTTTTTCTACCCGATGGTGTTGTTGATTTGCGTTGGCGAGCCTTAACTGTCTAGAAATCATCGAAAGAAGTCATTGTTTTCAAAAGCTGCTATGCCCTAATTCCAGCTCTATCTAGAATTGTTTTTAAACAAAGGTGAAACCAATTGCTACACCCTGAATTGACACCGGTGTAGCTACACCGCAAAAACGAAAACGACATAAGCAACATCAAGTTGCCATGAGTTCAGTTTATCCAGATAATGGAGGTAGTTTGACAGTTGCGTAATAAAAACAGTTTTTTGAACTTTTGTACATTTTAATTTCGTCGTACCAGCATTTCAGCCGAACTTTTAGAAACTAATAAAACACACAACTTTGCCGATGGCTTACTAATTGAGTTTCTAAATCTTTAATTGTGAGAGACATATCGATTTTTAAGCAAAAATAGCCTTTTTCAAAACTTTCCAATTAAGTTAGCTGCAAGTGGCTGCCCTTGCAACAGGTTTGATTTTAAAGCATTAGAAACGAACTATATTCGTTTTGGAGATCATCAGAATCCGTAAGTATCCTGGAAACATAAATTGGTTTTAGTACACAAGGAATTAAGATTATTTGTAAGGACTTTAAATAGTAACAATGAGTTTCCAGCTAAGTTTCCAGGAGACTAACAGATACTTATGATCTTCACAATAAATATAGTTTTTCATTCTGTAAAATAAAACTTGTTGTAAGTGCAACCCCTTGCAGCTAACTCAGTTATATCGTTTTGAAAAGAGCTATGTTGTGCTTAAAAATCGAAATGTCTCTTACAATTAAAGATGTATAAACTTGGTGTCCTCGGCAAAGTTGGGTGTTCATTATTTTCTGAAACTTTGCCCAACATGCTGAAGAGATATATCGAGAATAAAATTTAGAACAGTTAAAAAAACTGTTTTTACGAAGCAACTTTCTAACTACCTCCAGTATTTCGATGTACTGAAGTCACGGCAACTTGATGTCCCCAATTTTGCCAAGGAAAACTACTTTCTATCCATTGAAATGAAAAACTTAGATTTCTGAAGTACAGCTGCACCTTACGAACGATGCAAAAGTTCAAATTATGAATATTTTCTGAACATTCTTAAGCCCAAAAATGTACTCATTCATCTCAAAAACAATTAAGTTCATTAATTTTTATATTCCAACCACTGTGCAGTGCAATGCGACGATTGATTAGTGGTAATGAATGAAAATGTTAAATTCGTTTTGATTTCGAAGAAAAAAAAAATCCACAAATAAAGAAAATGAAGATGAAGGTAACATGTGCTGGTCAAATCATTTGATTCGAAGATCCGAAATCTGCACCTCCATTTAAGTTTCTGGCAAACCGATCTTGTCTTTAGAGGGGCTTCACGGTATAATGTTAAAATGTACATGAGCATGAATGACCGCCCACGGTTGCTACTCTGTTATTGCCAGACCACCTGTAATTATACAAAGAACCTAAAGACGATGCTTGGGAACACCAATAGACTGGTGATCTCAAACTGGGCAATACCAGCGCTGGCCGCACCCGAACGCAGGTCAAGAAAGAAATGGGTGGGAATGTGTTGACGTGACACTCGCTTTGATGGAAGCCGAGAAATCCTCTGCACTGCCACGAGAAATCACTGGGACGTCGGGTAAGAGGGTAGGGTGTGCAGCAAGGTTTGTTTTGGTAAACGATAATTTGAATTGATGTCCTAACGATATAGAAAGGTTACTGTATAAATAAATAAAAAGGAATGATCTCACCCGAATAATCAAGTAGAGCTGCACCAACAGCAACAGGCCTCCTCGTAGGCTTTCTTCCACGAATCGCAGGTATCTCTTTGCTCCTTACTTGATAATTATAATTCTCGATAACTTTTTCAAAGGGACGTATCAGCTTTTGTAAACAATGCATTTGATAATCGATTTCGCGTAACTGGTAGCTCGCACTCGCTTACTAACACCACTAGCAGGTAGGGGAAAATTTCCTCTATTTGGCGGTAGTGTTACCATGCGTGGGTTAGCTACCAGTTACGCTAAATTGACGATCAAATGCATTGTTTACAAAAGCTGATACGTCCCTTTGAAAACATTATCGAGAATTGTAGACGGTCTTCTCTTCTTCTTCTTCTTTCCATTATTTAACGTCGGTCTCTGTTCCGCAATCTAGTGCCAATCACCGACGGACATCGATTGTCATCCATTGACGGCAATCGAATGTGCAGGAAGGCAGCTTCCACACCTGCGTAGGATATCGCACCCATTCAAACACACATAGGCCGGGACCAACGGCTTTACTTCCCTTGCGAAGGAAGACGTGACCAGAGATTTGTATGCCTCTGAAAAATCTCACCTACCTCGACTGGGATTGAACCTAGACCCATTGGGGTGATAAAGCAGTCACGCTTACCACTAAACCACCAGCGCCGGCTTTTAGACGGTTTGTTTGACAACAACACGAACCTGTCAGGGCTTTGGTAGAAGCTGCATGAAGTATGAGCATGAGCATGATTGACCTCCTCCCGCGTCCGCTACTCCGTAACTGCCAGATCAGCTGTAATTACACAGATAACCAACAGACTTGGGACTAGCATTAATCTTCAATGTGTAAAAATTGGTGATCTCATACTTTTAAAAGGCAATACCAGCGCCAGCCGCGTCCGATTTCAGGTCAATTAAGGAATGGATAGGAATATGTGGACGTGAAACTCGTGTTGTACGAAGCCGAGAAATCCTCTACACTTCCACGAGAAATCACTGGGATGTTGGATATAAGCAAAGAAAGGAACAGTAACTTCATGCGAACGCTGATTTCTGGTGTTTACTCTGAAGATTGAAAAAAAAAACGTTGATTTTTTCTTCTTTATGCCAGTTTAATCTGGGAAAAAAATTGTATAATTTCTGATTACGTTTTGAAATGACCGTTAGCTTTACAAGTTTAAATATGCTTCATGCTATTTGTGCCAAATGGTTCAAAGAAAAAATGTAATCCTTTTCTCTTTCTTCTTTGGCTATTGGCGTCTTGCAGTGAAACTTTTCCAAGCTTTCGCCACCTACATTTCGAAGTGAGAACTACTAGAAGGAGGATAGTTTCCAAATTTTCCAAGTAAAACAGACGCTTTTTGGGGCAAATCGATCCATAAACAAAAGCAAATAATTTCCCGTGGAAAATTTTGCTTGAATCGTGTAAGAAAAAGTGTTTGAAAGCTATTTGTTATTATTTCGGTATGGATCGAAGATGTTTTCATGGCAAATTATGCATAACAAGTTTGCAGCCACAGGGAGAGGTTACCTCCTGCGCAGCTGCATTTTCTGAAAATGGTAAATATGTGCGATTTTCACTAAGATGAAAGTGGAAATTAGGTGAATTTACTTAGGAAAGTTGTATCATGCTTGTGGTAATAAGGAATTGGTTGTATAGGACGCCAATATTCAATAAATGTTCATTTTGGCCTTTTTTAAGCAAACATATTGATACTCA